AAAATCTGTAGGCGTTCAAGGGTCAAGGTTAGCGTCCGATTGTGAAAAAAAGATATACATATATATATAACAATGACTAATCAATTCTAATTAGATTAATTAAAATACATATATTGAACAGTACTGTATTTATTATTGTAAGAGATACCATCGTCCAGTCAATGACAAAGTCATAAATGATCAAAATGTTCACTTGAATTCACTATGGAGTTCAATAGATTCTCTAAAATAAGTATTGGAACAAGTTGTTCAAGACATCATGACACCAGAGTTAATTTGTTAAAGACAATATAGTGCAACAATAGTTCGTAAGAATGATGAAAACACTTATTTTAGAAATATATCTTACAAACCAATGCAGTGAGAACTGTGTGTAAGAAGCTGTGAAGCTAAACGATGCTACCTAGAGGCGAAGTCACGGATGCCCCTTTGCTAAGGAGTCCCTTACTCGAACTAAATATCTGTCCGATGCTCTTAGGTTGTCAATGATTGCCTAACGTAGATCAGTTCATAATCTTAATAAAACTCAGGAATCTTCACAACCCCAAATGCTGATTAATATTAAGATAGTTTATAAGATAATTTTTAATAATCGCTTGAATTACCTTGTCTTTAACATTAAAAATATTCTCGACTATTTTTAAAAAAAACTTAGTACTTATCAATTACATTTAAATATTATCTTTCTAGTAGATGAATTTATTAAGAGACTAATGTATTTTCCGTACTAGTAGCCACATTGAAGTTTAATCAATAAAATTGGATCGATGCTAACAAACACGACATTGGTCACTACTCAATCATTAATCACCTGTAATTATCTCAGTTGTACAGGAAGTTAGTCGCCGCCTAAATAGCTCATTGGTAGAATCTCAGGTTATCAAGCTAAGTAATACCGGTTCAAATGGCACAGTGTCATGGGAGGAAATTTTTCTACCAATAACTGAAAAGATGAAAGATTTGATTGTCAAAATAAATGAATACAATGCTAATTAATGGATTATATAAAGTGTGACTGAGTGATGGCTGCTCACGAGAGTGCATTATTGAGGCAAGTCCGGGAATGATTAAAAACCTAAGGCAAGATCACTTACCAGATGAATGAGTATACATATATATATATAATATTAATACAAAATAAACATTGAAAAGTGTCATCAGCGACTGGACGAAATGTTATTGCTAAGCCTAAATCTTGAATATTGTATTCATTAGGTGAGTACTAGTTGGGACTCTCCAAGGGGTCACATACCATTTACACTGCTTTACTTGTAAATATTAAGGGGAACAAAATTTGCTTTCACACACTCAATTCGTTTAACATCTTTTTATTCCTTCTATTAACAGCTGGATTGTTGAAGTCACTCTCTACAGATCGTTTCTTTGAGCATTACAAACTAGGATCTCTCAGGTGGATTAAGATATATTTTACACAGGATTATTTTAAGTAGAAGTACCATTGTAGATCGTAAATCTGAAGCCGGCTGGTCTGTCATTTGCACCTCGTGAAATGAAAGTTCACCGTCATTTCAACAGAAACTTTAAACTTCACTGAAAAGATCCTTTGTTTGAACATTATTTATCATAGTTATCATTGTACATATGTTATAAACAACCACATCAATAGATTGCCCCAAGTATGGATGCATCATCGATGTATAAAATAAAGGTCGTTATGAGGTGTGTTTGAAGCTGATTCCCGAATTCCATATACTATGACATTCAATTGAATAAGAAAAAGAGAATTTAGCGAAGAAAATTTTCTTTCCGACGAGATCATTTACTTAAGCTATACATTCGTTGAAATCATGAGTCAGTTGAAGCTAGACCACCAGGTTTTCAATGGTGATCTAGCTTCAACTGATTCATGATTTCAATCTGTGAAATTTCTGAAATCTCCACAAAACCTTTTCTGATAATAATCAATAAACCTTGTAAAAGGTAATAATAATAAATGATTAGAGTTTAAAGTGCAAAATAGTAATTTAAAAATTTAGATAATAATAAAAGTGCAGAAAAAACACACATCTAGAAACATAATCAAAAAATCGTGTATAAAGTAATAATAATAACTGCACGCAAAGTTCAGGCTTGAGTTGATGGATTGCCAATGCCTCGGCAGTGTATAAAATATTGATTCGACACCCCTTCGATCCAGTTCATTTGACTCTGTAGATTACTTTAAAATAAGAGTGGATTTCTCAGTGGCATTTGGAACGAATGGCAGTGGGTTCGAGTCCCAGAATGAATATCAACTCTGGGTTGCAAGTAAATCCATCTAAAGAGTCCCAAACCGGATGAAACGCAAGTTCTAGGTTCCACTGCTAGCCACTATTCATCTTTGCTTACAATCAATCTTAGTGTTAATGAAACACTAAGTGACATTGAATCTTGTCAACTATATTTTCTATGCTACTCATAAGTAGTAAGGATAATAAAACCAAATATTTTAGACAAAATCGTTTTCTGTTCATTAGATTTGATGCCAGAATTAATAATATCAACATAATATACATTTTCCTGATCCTCATTCCGTTGTGACTGAAAGATCATTAAAGAACTGGCATCTCCCGAAACTATTTTATGGACTATCATTTCATATATTCATATTGAATTATGAATAAATAACTGGAATACCATGTTTCTTTATTCCATTTATTGTAAGCTTCCGTTTAATTCATTAGCAATTATCTTATTATTCTTAATTTGTTGTTAATTATCTACTCGCGATTTGATCTATTCAATACCACCTTTCGCCTATGCATGAATTGTGATTTTTATATAATGGTATGATGAATGTACATCAACGCACATGTGCTTGATACATTTTAGAGTACATGTTAAATTTTTTTGTTTTAAGTAATCTTGCCGTCGAAATTAATATTATGATATGTAGACTGACTCTGTAAATCATTAATACAGTAGCAGAAATACTGAAGAACTAACCGTCTAGACTATTGTCAATGACCTTTTATAAAACTGAACTCTAAATTGTTTTATCCGGTATGAACCTCATTTGAGGAAATGTTACCCGCTATTGTAGATCAAGTTACATTTCTCATATAAATCATATACTTGCTAAACAAATATCCAAGCACTTCTCTGCATGGCTATCTAAAGGGGAATATAAGTTAATGAAAAGTTCAGTCCCTAAACATATGATTCATCCTGATCACTTGCCATCACAAGAATGATTGTTCAAGATCATTGACAAAATCAAAAGAACTGATTTAATGAAAGTTTAAATTAACATTTTGCATACAGCTAGACTATATCAACTCAGCACTTCAAACATGATCTCTGTGTATAAAAGGATTATGTTCAGTTCTTTATTTCTTTTTATGGTTCAAGAAACTCTTTTGATTTTTACAAATCATAAGTTTCATTTATTATCTTCTTTTTCACTTTCCTCTTCTTTGTAAACTAAATAGTTGTCTTTCAGATTTGTCCTCTAAGTTATTATTTCATACATTCTGATTCTTTTGTAAATTTACATAATCTATTTATTGTATTTTATAATTTGTAATAAAACAAGTTTCATTGACATTTACTACTGACGTTAAGTTGAACTTAAGTCAACTAATCAGTTTGATTATCATACATGTATCAGAGATGTATTTTATTCAATGTCTCTTTATATAATTAGATAGAATATGGCTAACGGTGTAATTCAGGACACGTCAATTGAGTGTACCTTAGTCTCAGAGTTGGTGTTCAGTTCAAGATTCTAATCAATCTTCCAAGCACACAACCATTTGTCTATTTGGCCACAAAGTCCGGATAGAAACTCAATTATGTAACGGGTATGAGTTTTAATTTAGTATGCAGTGGTTTAAATTATCTCTTTATTGGTACTTTGATGGAATTCCGATAAGTCTTAGTTCTAATATGTGCATCTTGTGTGGAGTGCTTCAATCTTACCGTCATATCACAGGTTTTATGGAACAGATAGAAAGTTGCTTGCAGTGGGTATATATGTATGTGAAGATTACAGAATTCTTATAGTTTAAATTGATTTCAGTTATGGGTTACCACCTCTGATGCCAGATTAGTAGTCTAGAAGTTAAGCATTCTCATAGGAGGCCGAAAAATCCTAGGTTCGACTTCTAACAGTGGAGGCGTTGGTAAGCACATCTGAGAAATCTCATACTAGGACAAAATGACTATCCAAGCTTCCAGGCCTTTAATATCTAAGATCAGTTATTTGCTCTTCTTGTTTTTTTGTGTCGTTTCGAACCAAACTTCAGTCAGTGATAAGTAGCACTGAAATATAACAAAATCATTTTATTCTGCAAATTTTGTATCTCTAACATTATTTCTCATTATTTCTAGGAATACTACATTGTTTAAACTAGTTTTTAATATTACTAAACAGTTTCGAAATTAAAATAAAACAACCCTCATGAATCCAAACAATTCTCCAACTGATATCAGTATATGATAAAAATTAACTTCAGATCGAATACCATAAATGATAAATATTATTGCTAACTTTCATAATATGACCAATATTAATAAAGGGAGATTTGTGGAGATTCTTCAATTTTTATAGTCGAACTCATCAACTGATTTTAGTTAAACTACTATTGGAAACATGAAAGCACTAAACAGACGTTTTGTCAATAACTGAAATTTTGTTAAATTTCGGTGAAGATTACTTTAATCAAGTTACTTCTACTCACTATCAGTAAGTAGAGTATTTGTACTAAATGATTATTTCTTTGCACTTGATTGAGTGCTTATTACGAATTCCAAATATAAAACATTCATTTGTGCTCATCTCTTTGTATCTGATTTAAATAAGACTATTTCGGAAATTCTTAGTCAGCATATTCATCCAAATCTCGCGAGGTGGGATCATAGATGCGCACTGCTGAGAAGTTCCACAATAGGACGAAACGACCATCCAATGTTTTCAGGTTTTCAATAATGGTCTAGCTTCAATTGACTTATGATCTCAACTATTGAAATTACTTTTAATTATCATTGAAAATCATTTATAATTTGATATCATTCATATATTTGTACATAAAATTTATAATTTTTTAAAAGATACTATACAATACTAATACAATTCCAAGAACAATTTAACGACCCATAAGAAAACGTTCAATAAACTCTGTTTGTTCAGCTTCTTCTTTTTGTAATGATTGTAATTGAATATTCAATCTAGTAATAGGTTTCCGTATTTTTTCCCCGAAAATAAAAGAAAAAGAAAGGTAAATTTATAGTATTCAATGAATTGGAAAAGTAAAATAAAAGCGAAATTGGTTCATAACATAGCAGAAGGTTGGTCATAGTATAGGAGGTTTATTGAGGTTGTTAAATTGTATAGTCTACTTCACGAACTGATTTCATATTAAGATGAAGCGATTATCCAGTTTATCTTGGTTTCCAATGGTTATCTAAGGGCTTGATTTTAATGTAGATCTTAAATTTCACAAATCTTCACAGACTTTTCATGCTAATAATAATAATACATGCATCAGTTACTAGTTTTGAGAGGTAATTTCTAAAGTCGTTTTGGGAGATTGTGACCAGTAGAGTCCAGAATTGTCGATTGTAAGATAGTTATCTACCAACGACGAAAAAAATATTGCGATACTATATCCCGAATCGATTGGATATCGATTGAGAGATTTAAATATCAAGCGCTCTCTGCGAGGCTTAAATGTTCTGGTTTCGATTTCCAGTTAGATCGATAATATGCACTTCTGGGAAGTCGCATACTAGGACGAAACATTTATCCAGTGTTTGCTGGTTCTCAATACTTACTAAACTAATGTTAGCCTGTGATGTGTGCCATAGAATAACTAATCTAACATGTGAATTTAAAAAATAGTCTAGTATCACAATTTACAATCGTATAGTCTAGTTTCAATCATTTATTCTATTCTATTTGAATTTATTATTTTTCTCTAATATGTATAACTTGCTTTTACTTGACAATATACAATCATATGAATAAATACATGCTGTTTTATATTCAAATGGGACATTAAATGTCAAGTTGTAATAGATAAATTTTCATAGTTATTTTTATCATTTCATTTTTTCAATATTCCTTGAACTATTAAACGAATGATTGTGACTTGTTTAATAGTTTTCTAGAAATCTATACTTATTATTACTAGAGTAAGTTACTTATTTCATGTATGAAGTGGTTATTAGTGTATTTAACTTTGAAATCAACCAAAAGTGTATGGATTAGTGATGTTACTGAGTTGTGCAAGTCAAAGGAAATGATGGGGGGAGGGGAATATCAAATCTATCACAAAGTCAATAGGTTCCATTAACAATTTAATTGAGTTGATATAGTAGATAAAAAAAACTTTTTATTATCCGATAACCGGTACAATCCTTGCCCTCATAGATCTAAATATAGTAAGCACTCGTTTAGTTTTAATGAAATGTTCTTATTGATGTAACAAAACGAAGAGTGAATAAATGGTGACTTTCGAAGCTGTTTCATGGAGTTTTACTGTATATATTCTTACCATATAATTACACAATAACTGGAATACTGTTTTTATTTTCCGTTTATTGAAAGATGCCATTTGGAAAACTAACTACTATTACTACAGGTATTATTATTCTTGATTTATGGCTAATCAGTTATTCACAACATTTCTGGTTTCACTTCCACTATCAGCATGTCTGTGTATCATCATAGTTTTCTACTTTATGATATGATGCAGTACGGTATGTTTGTTCATAAACATATGTACGTTTGTAATATAATAGTAGATTTGCACTGTCTCTTCCTTTATGATTGATAATTGGGAACAGAAGAAGGCGTGGGTATCAGTGGATCAGTCAGTCAGTCAGTCAGTCAGTCAGCTACAACGTAGGACCAGGCACATATGTGCATCGGTCCAAGTTGCCATACCGCATCAGCACAACAAGATGAACACCGGATTCATAACAGTGGTTAGGTAAAAGGTGGTAATATATAGGAGAAAGATTGCATATAGAGATATAGTACAAGAAGAAAGAATTGGTTCGTAGAAAGAAAGATATGAAGCGATTTTAATCTCTTAGTTTAAGGGAAGACAGGGAGTGTATACACCGACGCCATTGTGATCGATTCTGAGCCATGTCACCAAGAGTCTCCAACCATTGGTTACGATAGTCACGCGGACCCCAACCAAGTAGTCTGCATCTACCAACATGGCTCAGACTAGAAGTTAGTGACTTCAAGCACTGATGCCACGTTTTGGTTTGGCCGCCCCTAACTTTCTTCCAACCATTTCCAATACCGGATAGCATTGCACGTCGTGGTAATCGGTGTTCAGGCATACGTAACACGTGGCCCAACCATCTCAGTCGATGAAGATTCATAACCTCATCAACTGATTTACCATCATTTCCTAATACCCTGCGTCTAACCTCACTATTACTTACCCGGTTATCCCAGCAGACGCCAGAAATATTTCTAAGGCATCTGTGGTCAAATACTAGTAGCTTACGAGTGTCTTCTACTCCTAATGGCCATGTTTCGCTGCCGTAAAGTAAAACAGAACGGACTGCCGCGCAGTATACTCGTCCTTTTATTGATAGACGGATATCTCGCCTTCGCCAAAGGTGACGTAAGTTGGCAAAGGCCAAACGAGCTTTAGATGGTGGTTGGAGGTAGTCAACAGGAAACCCTGGACCCGAGTTTCGTGCTATTTGGCACTCGTCAGCAAGGTGTACCTGTAATCTTGAGGGAACTGGTGCTCCCTGGCCGATTCGATCTCGTGTCACCCAGCTTCACAGTCAGAGACGTTACCACTGAGCTATCCGAGCTGTGACTAACCTCCTGTAGGACTGAGATGTAATCACAATTGATTGATCATTGGGTGGTGATCAATGTCATGCTTGTCCAGTCCTCATTAGTGCAGATCCAATGCTATCGATCATGTTGCAATGTGGCCACCAGTCTAGGTGACTCGACACTGCGGGCACTATGTATTGAGATTTAGATGGTGGTTGGAGGTAGTCAACAGGAAACCCTGGACCCGGGTTTCGTGCTATTTGGCACTCGTCAGCAAGGTGTACCTGTAATCTTGAGGGATAGTCACGGCTCGGATAGCTCAGTGGTAACGTCTCTGACTGTGAAGCTGGGTGACACGAGGTCGAATCCGCCAGGGAGCACCAGTTCCCTCAAGATTACAGGTACACCTTGCTGACGAGTGCCAAATAGCACGAAACCCGGGTCCAGGGTTTCCTGTTGACTACCTCCAACCACCATCTAAATCTCAATACATAGTGCCCGCAGTGTCGAGTCACCTAGACTGGTGGCCACATTGCAACACGATCGATAGCATTCGATCTGCACTAATAAGGACTAGACAAGCATGACATTGATCACCACCCAGTGATCAATCAATTGTGAAGGCCAAACGAGCTTTTCGAATCCGTGATAAGATTTCGTCCGATACCAACCCATTATGGCTGATCAGACTTCCAAGATAAGTGAAGTTGTCAACGCGTTCGACTACTTCACTCCCTATCCTTAGTTCAGGTGTTAACGCAGACCAGTCCTGAAGCAACAACTTACATTTAGAGGGAGAGAAGCGCATTCCAAACATCCTGGCATTGTTGCTCAGTGCTACCAGAAGACTCTGCATTTTGTCAGCGTCTTCACCAAACAGGACTATGTCATCTGCGTATTCTAAGTCGATAAGTGGACCTCCTGGATGGAGATCAATACCCGAGAACTCAGTCGACGAAAATGTTATTTCCATCAGTAGGTCTATGATGAGGCTAAACAGAAATGGAGAAAGTGGACAGCCTTGACGGACACCACTTGAGGTTGCAAAACTAGATGACAGTTCGCCATAAGCTCTTACTCGACTAGTAGTGTTCGAGTAAAGAGCCTTTACAAGGTTTATGTACTTCTGGGGTACGCCTTTCAATGACAGACACTGCCACAGAATCTCGCGATCTACAGAGTCAAATGCTGCTTTTAAGTCAAGAAAGACCACCATCGTCGGACGCCGATAAGTATGCCTGTGTTCTAGAACCTGACGAATGGTGAATATGTGGTCGATGCAGCCACGACCAGGTCTGAAGCCAGCTTGGTTTTCTCGTGTTTGCAGTTCACGAGTCTTAGTTAGGCGTCTGATTATTATTGAGACTAGTATTTTAGATATTATATATCAGTGGATCATTAGAACTTAAGCTTACGTTAGTTCAAGTTTTGTCGTGTCGGTTGAATTGTATCACTAGTCAAGACTAAGAACTCTAGATCATAGAAGGAATAGATTATGATTGTAATTATGATTGGTGGATCGAACTAGTGGCGTCGACTAATGTCTCAGACATAACACTTATGACAATATTTTCCTTTACATTATTCTGATCAAGACTACATACAATAACACAAATATTACTTTAGAAACGAACAGTTACAAAACCAAAGATAATTTAGGTGTCATATAGTAGAGATCCTTAGAGCAGTGTTACATATCGTTTTGCTCTTTTCATCACAATGTATTTGCAATCTTGACAGAACTGATGCTCTCCGTGGGATACATCACCCAATCTCGATTGCTTCCTATTTACCACCTCAAACTAACTAATATCAGAAAAAATAGAGCACGCGATATCGATTAATTCAGTAATGACTATATTCCAACTTGATGAATAAAATCCAAATAACAGTAAGGACTGGACGAAAATGTTATTAGCTTTCACCCGGTAGTCAATGAATGAAAATCTAAAATTATACTATTTTTTACAAATTGTACGAATTAGAATTGTACGTAGTGGGGTGGTTGAACCGACCAAGAGATATAACAGTTCATATTGTCCCGTTTTTAATATTGACTTAATTCTGATCAGTCTTAGTTGATATATGTGCATCGTGCGCAGATCGACTCTATCTAGCCATGATATCACAATTTTTTATAGAATGGATATTATGTAGCTAACAGTGGGATTCAAGACGCAGGTTTTGTCGTAAAACTGATCACAATTCAGTAAAAATATCACAAACGGGAAAATTCAAACCACTAAAATTGAGTTAAAATTTATATCCGTTGCATGAGCGACTAGGTATCTGGACTCAAGTCTAAGTGGATAACACGAGTGGTGTTTGAAGTAAAACGTACTGAGTTTAAAAACCGGAGTGAACATCAACTCTGGGATGCAAGTGCATGAAGCTGACGACTCTTGAGTAGGACGAAACCTGGGTCCTGGATTTCACTGTTAACCATACATTATTTTTTTTTATAAAATCAACAAGAAATGTCTGCCACTACCTCTCTCCAAAACCTATTATGGTACCAGTTATGGATTGTAAAAGGTTATTATTCAAACTTAATTATATTGATCCAGAGATATTCGTTAATTGCCATTCTCTAGTTCTTGTTATTAACCTTTTTATGGTTTTTGTTTGTTTATTTCATTATTTTCCCACATATTTTGGCATGAAGTTTTCTTGTAACAGTTTTACACTGTTTTTATTTCTCTGTCAATAATATCTAAACGCAGTTTTTCTTGAGGTAAAAACATTTAAGCATTACTGAATACTTTTTTGCTAAGGATGTATAAGACATTGCATAATCATTAATTAAGTATAAAATCTTAGAGCCAGGTGTAAAATCTAAGTACGTAGAAAATGTACGTTCTAAAAATCATCATCACGAAGATCCGCTTAACATCCATATACGTCATTTTTGACTGATCAGTTAAAGCGATTGTACAAACCCTTAGAAATAACTTCATACCTATTGAACAAGTTGATAGTTGTCTGGATTAAGTAGAAGATATAACGGCAGAAATAGGAATTATTTTATGTTTCCACGATATCCTGCTACTACATGATAATATGAAAGGTCAGTGACCGAGATTTATACCACCACTGAACTGGATACTCTATTGATATGTTATCCACAAACTTAATCGTGTTATATCAGATATGTATTTCATGTCCAAAAACAGAGAACTAGAATAAGGGCTAAACAATACTCTATTGAAAACAATTACAAGCAGTCTATAATCCGTGAATCCAGAGTCGAAATCAATAAAGGGAAGGAAATTAAGTACTTAATAGTAAGTAAACTGAGTCTATTTGTTCATTCTCAGTTATCAATCACATTTTGCTCTCACTAGTCACACATCAGTAGCATAATGGATAGAATATCGTATTATGAAACGATCAGTAATGGGTTCAAATCTCTGTGTGAATATTAATGCAACTGTGGATACGTGCACCTAACTGGTTACAGACAGAACGAAACAGTTGTCCGAGATTCCATTGGTATCCAAAATCTAAGTATAATACGAATAACTCACCTATCTATATCCTTCTTTTTGGCCAATATCTGGGATTCCAAGTGTTTTTGTTGTAAGTCTCTTTGCTTCTCCATTGAGGTAAGTAGATTTCTTGAACCAATCGCCTAAATAAATGTGTATGTGAATATTTATTCTTTATTAAAACAAACTTTTAGCTTTTGCGATTCAACTTTTTCAGCTACAGAGCTGATCAAGTTGAGAAGTTCTCCAACAATCATTTTAAAGTCGGTCATTTCTAGAAAAGAAAGAAATTCAACATGAAGTAAGAGTTCAGCATTGAGTACGCTAAAATAATTTTATTCTATGTTATCATTCATCAGTACTAAATTTGAGAGTGAAGTAAGTAACAAGTGGAAATATAAAAGGAGTTTTGGAGTTGGTTTTTATCAAAGACGAATGTTACCTTTGAAAATATTACGGACTATATAAAACTGGAAGTATGCTTTGTTCCAGGTTTAAACTTGTTAGCGTCGTGCTTGAATCATACAGCGAGTGTAACTCAGGACATACATGTTTCATGGCTGGTATTACACAGTTAGGTTAATGAGTGAGAGGTGAGTTTTTCACTTTTTCAGCCTTAGCTGATTCACATTATTACCCAATAATCGTGCATTATTGTCAATGATATCAGTCTGACTGTCACTGTAATGATCATGAATCCCAATCATAAATCCGAAATCCTGCTCATATCTCCTCACTAGTAGCCACAAAGTCAATATAGCATTAAAGGATTGTGGATGCTTATTGGGTTTTAACGTTAATGAAATGAGTAATTATAGTCGAAGAGTTTCAAAAAAGGAAGAAACAAATGTTCGTAATTCCTAAGTTTCCAAATGCTCTTTGGCTGATGTCAGTCTGTTAAGAGAACTTGATTAAAAACTAAATAACCCTTATCTCAAAACAAGCCTACTGGTGTTGAACACTAGATCGTTAAAGTACTTTCTAATTTCAAGTTATCATAGGGCTTACAAACAATGAATAATCAACATATATTTTGACTGACTTTGAAGCTGCTTTTAGAATAAGTTTATTCCAGTGAATATAGTGATATCGTATATGGTATTAAGTGTATACATGAAATCGATTTGTCTTTTGGCAAGGAATTGTACAGATTGAACACTGACAAATCGACCGTTATTGATATCTTCATAAAGTCGATTGCAATACTATAAAGTAAGTGCTGTCACCGTAACCTCTACATTTTAACTTGTTCTGGTTTCGACGCAATCTTAAAACTGTGCCATTATATATATATATATATATATATATATATATATATATATAATTCCAAAAATGATGTTTTGAATGAAATAAAAACTTATCAGACACAAACACATTTCATCGAATGTTTTTCTTGACAAATGTAGCTTACAACTAAGTATAGACCTTTAAAGAATATCAAATTCATTTTTCTACAAACATAAAGAATTTATTTGAAACAATATTTGGCTAAACCAAGATCAAATAGGGGCTGGTATATGGGGCACAATTAAGATTTTGAATCCAAGACCTTGTTTTTCTTTATTTTTGAGATGAAAAACGTCTTTCTGTGTTTTGGCAACACATGATGAAAGATCTTCATATCATTGTCAATACGAAACAACTCAAATGAAGTTGGTATAACCCTGAACTAATTAACGAAACCTTATAAAACGTCTATAAAAATACCAAAGACACAAACTATCTGTTTATACTTATTTGTAATACAGATCCGAAATTTTAAACTTAATTTGATCTTTAAATTTAGAGATTTTCAACAACAAAGTAAGCACATATATGCAATCAAAGAGAATGTACTTAATTCATCGTTGAGTACTCGTATAAAAGCTTGGGTTTGTCACTGGCACACGTTCATCAAACGCTTGATAAAATGTCATAACAGTTCAATTTTTAGGAATACATTTACCATTTCCTTAAAAGCGTAATCTCACATATCTAATTGACCAAGCCATACTAAGAAAACTGGATATTAGCATTTAGGGAACTTGTTGATATTTTAATAACGTTTTATTAGTATAAGAGTAGTGGTATAACGTTGAACATCCCAACTTGTCTATAGATGTTACTCGTTATTATCAGTAATTAACCCGCCTGATATTTCGAAGATTTTTCACAAGACTATAAAAATGAGGGTATTTTTTGAAAGTATTGACCACATTCCGCGTAGTAACCGACACCATACATTTTGGTACTACTATGACGGAAAATAATGCTGAAAAATAAATGATCCCAATGGTTTATTACACTCGAAGGCGGCATCGTTTGTTTTACTTAACTAAAGTACTTAAAAATGAAAGGTCCATCATCAACACTAGTTAGTATGCTGTAACGCATATTTCTTTTTCGAAATATCAGTTTTATCTGTTCACTTGAGCGATTTTGTATTGGAGCCGTTGTATAGATTACCACAGATCTTTTTGAAGCCAATGCTAACGACACATCTACCAATGTAAAGATATGTGCATTCGAAAATATGAAGGAAATACCAGGGCACAACCTTTAAGATCAAGTGAATGACTTGAAGTGTCTTAAATAATAAATAGAAACCGTTGCCTTTTGCGTTGATATAGTACCAATTTACAGTTTTCTAAGCTGATTCCTCCCGCGTTTGAAGCCATAATAATGTTTAGTGACGACACAAGAACAAAAAAGACTTCCCGAGCTCCCGATTTTGGGGAGGCCGCTATAGTAAACGCTGAATAAATAACACTGAAACCTCAAAATTTCCCCAAACCTAGGGAAATTCCCTAATATTTCTCTTTAACCTTGGTGAAGCTCATTTGACTTTGGAGTTTTCCCAAAATACTCCAAACTTGGGAGATTGGGTTCCTATCACTATTATGAGCAATATGAGTAAAGAAACGTCCCCTATAGTGCATTTCAATGATAACAGATAGGTTTTACTTATTAATTAATAGGTAAAACCTAATTAATTATTGAAGAAAGAAGTTAAATTATAATGATTGGAGTTTGACAGCATTAATACAGTTCATACTTGAAAGATATTTTTCACATTCTTCTTTGAGTTCGTTTGTTTCTTGTGCGACTCTAGGATCAACTATTCGAAGTTTATAAAAATCGTCAATATATAATCCAGCTTGAGCTAACGATTCAGCCATTGAATGTGTAATGTTCAACTCAGTCGGATTGTTAAAATAGCTCCAGAAGTATACCTTCTTATGAGATGCAAACACGTGGCGGTTTGCTCCTACCCTGAGGGTACGTTGTGTGCTGGGGGAGCGTGAAGAAAAACGTGTGTACGGAAATCTGAAAAGCGAAGATAAGAAAAGTTTTGTGAAGACACAGTATGGTTACATGATCTACTTACGTTAAATGATAACAGCAACCTACAACAATTAGCAGTAAGATTGGAGTTAGGTTAAGACAATTTATTAGTTGTGGAGTACAATTTCAAACGCGTTGTATGTACTTTCCATCTGTAACTATGCCGACCAACTATTCAATTCCCAGTTTTCCAATGTACAATACTCAATATATCCACTATCTGTATAAGGAACTAGTATAAATCAACTGGTTTTCTCCTTCATGTTTTGACGTTACGGCATGATTGAGGGTCTTCGCGATCGTATGATATAAATAGTCTAGACACTTTAACAAATTCCTTCGTGAAGCGCAACGTTGGATTGTAAGTAAGATGTTTTATTTTAATAACTTTGAATAATCATCATCTTGCCTTTCGTTAATATATTATCACATACTTTTCTGAACTATAGAGATTACGATCTCAGATGATGGAAATGGTGTATTTATGATTTGTTCTCTACTCTGATACTCTATTTTCCCATGCACCCGTACCTACTCTAAAAGATTCATCTCCCTTTATTTAAAGATGATCCAGTTATGCTGTGAGTTTCGAGATTGTAATTAGCATGAATCTAATTTGGTAGAGCACAGAACCGACAGAATAGTGCAGGTGGAGAGCCTTTGGTGGACTTGAAGACTGAGGTTCGGATTTCTTTGATTTGATCAATGGATTTCTATTAAACTCAAGGTACAAGCAGTATAATCGCGAGGATGAATGAATGAACACAAAATTACAGTTTTGCTGTGTTATTATGGTGTTGGAACGTCAAAAGACCCAGTTACAACACAAATTGCATTTTAATTCTGAGTCCCTGGTCATAACTAATGCACACGTGATATGGCCATCATTTATGCTTCTTCCTCTCCCAGCGGTAGAGTACTGAGTATAAAATCAATGGTTCTGTTTCCCTTTAGCTGGTTACGTGTGTACCTGGAGACGGAAATCTGCATCAATGTATAACCATTGTTGTCCGATGTGGAGGTTTCATTCAGTGTTTGGATCGTGTGACTGGTACTATGTTCAGATATGGTTTTCGAAAAATTGGTTCTGGGTTTTTAACGAAGCTATGGGGCCAATGAACCTGAAGAACCGTCCTTATCTAGTGTTTTAGGAATTGATGGGAGCATTAGTGATGTACATGTTGTTTAATGAACAGAACGGTGTAAAACGATATTTATAAAAGGATTAGTGAACACGGATTACACACAACTAAGACCTCAGAAAAATTTAGAACGATGACCTTATCTCCAAATGCTTCAACAAGCGACTTCCTGATGGTTGAAGAAGTTTCGCAAGTCCTTTGCTTGTAAGTGTACTAGCAATTGGATGCAAGAGTCGCTGAAACTACCAAAAGACTCATTTGTGAGTCAACTAAACCTATCACATGGTGATTTACCCTTGACATGATAATTGTCGAAAAGTTCGCAATTTCGCTTGATATGCAGGCATGGGGAACAAAATAAGTGTTCATTGTACAGTTGAATATTCGGTAACCGATAAGCTTTAGTTGTTAACTAGTAACAGAGGTGATCTCGAACTGAAAGAGCCCTCGTTTGAAGAAGTCATTCGTATTCCAAATTCACTGCAGTTGGAATCCTTTCTTTGTCCTGTCGTATTTTCAAAAGATATCTCAAGTTTAAGACCCTGCGATGATTGAGGTATGAACACTTGACAGATTGACGCTCCCAAATCAAATGACATCATAATCAAGTGAATGGTACAATCGAATAAGAGCTTACTGATTAAGGTCGAGGATCTCCGAAAATATTGTTTTTTTTTTCGATTGTGGAAAAAGTCCCTAGCAAAACTTCAATAATAAGGTTTTTCGAAGCCCAGTGTTCACGATTTAACCGACGGAACGGATCGAGACTAAAACATTAGGGTCGAAATGACTAAAAATTCTGTGTTCAAAGCCAAAACAGCAAATGCATCAAGAACTACTTAAAAGGGTCGATAAAGACAATAGTTTGTAATAACATAAGAAACTCTGTGCACTCCAAAAACAGTCCTGACGAAAATAACATCGCTTTTTTCAATCTCATCTGTTTTCTTGACCCAACCACCCTAGAAACCATAACTGCTGGCAGTTCAAAAGGTTTTTTTATCGTCTACGACATACGAGATATGGACATGCTTCAACATCAATAATTAGCCATAATGCTTAAGGTTTTCTTATGAGATGCAAACTATTCCCCATGACTTAACATCACCGTTACTGAACTTTGTATCTATTCACAAAGCTTGTTGCATTCACACATTTCCACAGGCTTACATCAGTAAAACTACGGGTCGTTGAAACCCTATTCTCTTCAAGTGCCATCCATTGACTGTTTTCGTTTCCAATTGATGAAAATTATAGAATTCATCAAAAATTTCATATCCGTAAACATCGCATAGAATGGTTAACAAGCTTCGATTTATTTCCGACTATGAACATTCGCAGGGTTAAGAAATGTCTTTTTCTAGTTTCTCGTTTGTGCTTAATAACCTTGATCAGTCGACAGATGAGCACGAACGTCTTCGTCGAACCATGGAGGGTATTTTCTTGAATTTAGTGGTATCGATCGCTGGCGCCAGTACTGAATTTAAGAAATAAAACATCATGGTTGCTGTTACTAAGGTATGTCACTAAGGTTTAGAATGTCTTTATTTTAATGAGTTAATATGAGGTCAAAAAAATGGTGACCATGAGTTAGAGTACTTGTTACAGGAGGTCCTATTGTTATTTTTGGCTCGTAAATTGCAAGTAGGTCAACATACCGTGCTTCACTGACACGAAAGCAGAAACTTGGAAGTAACGCGAAATTCGCCGATTCCGGTTTATTTTGGGATTCCTTAAACTTTTTGTTTCTCTGAACGTTCACTTTGAACCAACCATTAATCCTTTTAATCGATTTACTTGGATTCCTTTTGGAATAACTTAAATTTGACTTATTATACTTGACCCTATGGAACGAAGATACACAATGGAAACTAAAATTAAAAGGTCGAAGGAAAATAGGGAACTGGAAGGTGAGATTCCTATATATGCTGTTAATAATGAACTAAGTGTCATTGGGTTCTGATCGACATAGTTCTTCTAAACCCAAGTTAGGTATATCATTACTTAGGAAGAAGAAAGAAGAAAAAGACTTGAAATAGAAAATTAGCCTAGGATGTTAGATTTTGAAGAGGAAACTGATATTGCTGAAGGATATAACCCTTCTAATCTATTAGAAGTCTTGATTGGATGCGATGTTCCGAACACATACTGGGTTCTAGAACAACGTCTGGAAGATAGGCAGGTCTTGCTCCATGCATAGTGATGTCATGAGCCAATCATAAGTAGTCCAGTGAGAATGCCAACTGATGGCAATCAGAGGTAACTTGAAGGATGGTTGCATTTCGTTGGCCAAGTGATGGATTAACTTGCTAAGGTGGGAATTCGTATATTTGTGGATTTTACTCGGTATCCCAATGTGCTCTTCTTCTCACTCTTGTATTCTACCTCAACTGGTCGAGAGGTTAGCACATAGCACATCGTGGATCAGTATCATATTTCGTATATCGCACGTCGCAAGTATGTATTTTACACATCCTACTTTCATGAGATTTACTGTCAGTAATAGTTCAAGTGGTGCTAATTTTCATGATCGATGATACTTTTGGTATACGACCATGGGTTAGTTCAGGTCCTCCTATGGTCTCCAAAGCTGAGCTGGACTCAGTTAATCACTTTGATATCACAGTAGTTTAGTCCCGTCTGGCTGGGCCAGTCTCTACGTCAACCTCCGACTGCTTGCTGTGCAAGCCTCAAGGATTTACGTAACACATTCAAAGACCACTGTGTTGTTTTCGCTACTTGATAAACGCAAAATACGGTATACAACTACGGCATTCAAACGTGTAGGACCCCACAGTCTCACAATCAGAGGACAGAAGAAAACTGGAGAAGAGTTTGTTGGATAAGAATCAAATTGTACAGAAAATCATGGGTATTTATAGATAGTAGTGTTAGTTATGATATCATTATAATCCAGCCAATTTTCAAAAAGTCAAGTTATGCTGCTTTCCAACCGTATCATGCCGCGCCGGTATTCTAGTAAGCTCCATCACGTTCTCATTGGATGGAAACCCTCTTGAGGCTTAGTTGTAGTTCTCGAAAGCTGTCCCGACACATTTAAATTGCTTACCGTTTCACCTAAGGCGACTTTAGCTCAATTATCTTCCGAAGAATCACTACTATCGTAAGATTCCTTCCTACAGATTCTACTACCAGCCTTATATCTTTTCCGCCTTTTTGTCATTCTATACTATCAAAGATCAATAAATGTTTGAAGAGAAAACTTTGGTAGTAAATTTGTACGTCTTGTCAATAAATATCATTATATGTAGAAGTTTGATCCTCTTTCGTACTCACCACCCTGCTCCTTAGCCAATAAACTTTAAGAAGAGTAGCTCGAAACTCGTGATGAGTCTAACTCTCTTGTATTATTTTCGGAATCGTTGTTTATCAAACGAGTTCATAATCAGGTCACAAAACAATGTAAAAGTAACATTTAGGTTATTTAAAAGTTTTAAATTAAGTTGTTCACCCTAAAAAGTTTAAAAACTTACAAATTTTGTCCTAATGTATTTCGGTTGAACACAAATTTACAGATAAAATCTAATCGAAAATTAATATTGATAAAAGAAAGTTTTCCAATTATACTGGATTGCTAATGAAATCAGCGTATTTGTATTTTAATAGATAAATGTGCAACGTGGAGTCGAGTCCTAATTCACTATGAACACCGCTACAGAGAAACACGTGCCAAGTAAATCCATAAAATCCCCCGGAAGCCAAATATCAGAAGGCAGTTAATGGACTAAGTCGAGATATATTTGCTGGAGATCTCGTGGTATCGAAAGGATACCGAGATCGTGCCAGGATACAAGCTTGGTTACAGAACGTAACCGAATTCACGCGAGGTTACAATCGAAGTATATGAATAATGGATGCTTTTTCGCACAGTTAAACAAAAGCACATTAAAACAGTCACTGGTACAATTGGCTATAATAATCATTGTTTTCATTAAACCAGTCGTGTTCTCGTGATAAAAGTGAGTCACTACAAATGCATGACCATATAACTTTTGTCAGAGAAATTATGTATCATGTTAATGTTTGGTTC